TCAAATTGATCATATAACATTCTTTTTGAATAAAAAGCATCTGATTTCATTCCTATTCATATTGTATATGTTTGCCTTAACATAGCTTTCTAAGCATGTTAGAAGCATGTCATTTTATGCTCTTAAAATGATTTGAAATGAATATAGATTGGCCTTGAGTAATCGAACAAAATGCAACGTTCATAGCTTCTTTTAGACATCTGAGAGCTTTAGAATCTTCTCTTAAACTTCATTTCCTTCTGCTCTTCTCTTCTATACCAAAAAACAAACTGGTGAGCTTCTCTCCCTTAGCTGAACTACAAAACCGAACAGAGAAACTCCACTTAGGATTTGGTTGCTTCCAGTATGAATTAGGGTAAGGGGCTTTCCTTCATAATTAGGTATTTGAAAACCAGAGGCTTCATCAACCTCTGATTTTCAATTTTAGGAGCTTGTTTATTGTAAACAACGGCTTTAACCACCTCAATATACTTCTCTTAGGGGACGAGTCTCATGTTGGTTTCAAGAACCCTTTGCTAGCGAATATACTAGTTAGTCAACAACTAGGTCTAGTAATTCATCTCAGTCCATTGTTGAGCTCAAGTACGGTATGAGCTCTAATGATATAACCATGCTCCAATGTGGGGAAAACCAGGTTCTGTGATGTAGCACCTAAATGAGATACAAGGGTCCGTTTGGTTTGCAGGAATAGGGGTCTGGAATCGGAATCAGAATGGGCCATTCCGATTCCAACTGTTTGGTTGGGGGGGATCAGAATCTCATTCTCATTCCTGCTGGAATGACATTCCCCCATTTGAGGGAATGGCCATTCCTTGCCCCTCTCTTGGAAATTAAATCGCATTCCTGCTGATTTTAATTCTCATTTTCATTCCTGTATGAACCAAACAGACTATGGGAATGGACCATTTCGATTCTGATTCTAGAGGATTTCGATTCCGATTCCATCTACGAAACAAACGGACCCTAAATAATCTCTCTTCAAGCTACCATTTGTCCTACTAACATTGAAAAATTCAACATTTGAGACTATTATATTGTGTATTTGCGTTAATAAAATTGTATACATTGAATTCATTTGGGCATGGAACTCTGGAGCATCACCACTTATGACTAAAATTAATAAAATGACTAGTTATTCCCCTTTTAATGTATTTTCGTCAAGCTTTCTCCTTGGTTGATGAGACATAACTTAAAATCTTGATCTGAACCAAATATTTCAATCAGATTTAGGACATTCAAAAATGCCTACCTACCAAATTTCATCACAGATTCCCTCATTCAACCCTATTAAACCAAGATTTTTTTTCAACAAATCTCCTTGATTAGAATTTATCTGTCATAGATCTTCATCATCTAAACCCCACTTGATCAATCAGACCTCGCCATTATGTTCAAAGAACTAAAAAATCCATTTATACTATATTTCATGCCTAATTTACTTGTTTAGCTGTTAATTAAAAAATTTTGACACACTAGATTAAATCACCCCTTCATCTATCCCAACATGGGACCTCAAGAGGGTAGGGGCTGATGTCAACACTATACTTTGACATATTAAAACACCTGGAGCAGTAACATTAAGTCTAATAGACTTAAAAAACCCCTAAACCCAAAGATACCTTCACTTAAAGAGAGGAAGATAAAATGATAGATGAAATCAAATTTACATTTTATTGTTTCTCATTGGATGCACAAAACTTGTGGAAATCAACTCCAAATTGAAGAAAAATGTTGTACCAAGAATGAAATGCTGACGACAAACCTTCATCATTTGAACATCCTTGTCATTTTTATAAAAACACTCTCTTGAGACCCAAGTTTTGTAATTTGTTGAAGTTTTAGACATGTTTTTTTCTCCTATCTCTATAAATGGACCTAAAACCAAGCCCAACAAGGGAAGGGAAGACGAGCTAAAAGTATTCTCATCCTTTGTGTAGCATATTTATTTTCATTTTCTTATAAGAAACATCAAGTCTTTAGCCCTTGAGCTTCCAATCTACCCAAAACAAAAAATAAATAAATAAATAATAGTCAAGGCTATATTTAAGAAGTAAGTTTCTCAACTCGATTCTCTATTTCTTTAGTTTGTTTTAGCTCATTTTTTATTTCATTTAGGCTTGAAGAATGAGGTAGAGAGGTGATGGATTTGGGGAAACCAGTACCCAACTCCCGATACTATTACCTTAAAGCAAGTCTAAAGGAAATTGAGAATCTTCTAAGGATTTAGTGTTTACTTCTTGATTGAAGTTGTTTATTGGAAAATTAAACCTAAAAAACTCCTATATTGGGCTATTACAACAACTTAGAGAGAGGGTGCCTAATACCTTTCCTCTCTCAATCTATCTGAATCAAAGATATCTCTTTGTCAGGTGTCTTTTCCATAGAGAAATAGAATTACAATCAAGAAAATAAGATCAAAGTTCAAAGCTGAAATGGACCATTTTCTTTAAAAAGTGGGTGATGACTATTTCTTCTTTGAATTGGCCATGAGCTATCTGAAACTCACACCATGGAGATTGAAAAGTGTTATCAATCAATATTATAAATTTAGTGAGCTTTTGGAGTGCGGATGGCGTGGCATCATGTCTTCTATGAAGCCAATCAAGTTGTGGACTGGCCTGCACATAAAACTCTCTCCTCTTAGGATTCCCATCTTTCTTTCATCTTTACTGATCTCCCTTTTAACTTTTGTATGATGGTTTGATGTTTGGGGTTGAGCTATCCCCCCTCCCCCACCTTTGTGCAGCTCTTCTTGTATTTACCAAAAAAAAAAGAGATTTATCAGAACTTGTTATATTTAAACCCCCAATAAAGAATAAAGAGACGCTTGTAATTCATGTTTATGAATATGTTGATAAGTTGGCTGAAAAAACAAAAAAAAAAAAATCCGGTTTGGAGCAGCAAAATGTGCTTTTGCTGGTGTGAAAAAGAACTAGAACTGACCTTTAATCAAGTCACCATCTTTAAGACAAACCCAACTTAAAATTCCTATTTCTCCATAGAACTTTTTACCAACTTATATCACCCCATCCAATATGGCTACTTAAATAAATTAGTTGAACAAAATCAATTGAAGTTCTAAACATCTAATAACGTAAACATGAGAAGGTAGAAGAAATTGAAGTGAAAGAGGTTCTCGAGGTATGCTCAAAGAAGAGACAATACGGGCACATCCCGCTTGAAAAAAGCGCTTTCTATTTTTTATTTTTTGATTATTAAAGAAATGCTGTTTTATCAAACATTGGTAAGTGTTTATTAGGATAACCACTTATCCCAAACGCCCATGTTTGTACCATGCAGTTGAAGTTGTTGCTTAATCCTTAATCCTTA